TTCATGGTGTGTCTACATTTACCATGGTCATGCTTTAAATGAGTTCTGTTCCTTTGTAGAGGATTTTATGTACACAGGTAATTAATTTGTGTATATTTCCAGATTTAGTTCCTTTTCTCTCTCTGGACTACTTTTGTCCACATTTGCGCTATTGCTCTTTCATGGTTTTCAGTGCGCTACAAAACAAACCTTCTCTCATTTGTTGATATATTTAGTTATGTCTCTCCAAATTTGCATTGTCTCTCTTAGGCTTGGTTCAGACCAAGTTTTACCTTTTTACTGCTCTCCACTGGACTAGGTTCAAAATATTTATCCCTCAATTTTTTTCGTCCCCAGGATGGTCAGCTCAGTGGTGCTGGTGACCAGCTGATTGTGATGGGTGCTGCCTCCAAGGGCATTATTCAACGGGACCATCAGCACAACGCTGTCGTCTACAGGCAATACTACGCTGCCAACCCCTTTGAGAACATGTCTGAGGCAGAGATTGAGAAGTATCAGTCTGAGGTTCAGAAGAAGGAACAGGGCGAGCCAGGTCAGTGACTGTTATTTTGAGATCTCTTAGCCCACATTTCTTCAGTGAATTTGTTTTGCTTTCTAGTTCAATATTTGTTCCATTTATGGACTAACTAACATCTTGCCATCTGATAGGTAATATTTTTGTTATTCCAATTTGTGGGGTTTTTTTATACTCTTGATTTTTCTGTCTGTGGAGGGATTCATAACAGATCAAACTGACTCTTTGATAGCTGATGTTTGTGCCCAAATTTTGTAGGGTGTGGCTTTTTTTGGATTGAGACCTGAAGTCTGAATGCTATAAAACTGCACAATGTTAGGAAACTGACCACTTTTAAAGGGAAAGATATGTGGAATATTGGAGGATCTTCTGAATGGTAGTCAAATCTTTGTGGGATGTATGGTCCATGAATTTGTTTCTTGTTCATGGTAGCGAATGTGACATTGGAAGAAAAGATTATCAACATTATGCTGATACCATAATTTTAACCTCTTTGCTGCCGCATCCGTAGATTTACGGGCCTGAACCGTGTAGCGCTGTGCCTATGGCCCGTAGAAGTGGTTGTTTTGATACCAATTATAAGGAAAGTTACTATTAAAATCCTGTAATTATTATTGGGGTACCTTACATTTATGTTTACCTCCATTTTCCCCCCCTTTGGAAGCGTCAGATTCAGATTTTAGCTAGAAGAAAATCTACCACAAAAATAATTTCCTGGCAGTAAACACAGATGGGCTTACATGTATATATATATGGATTGTGCGAGCGTTGTATAAGGTAGGAAAAGCCTCTTGTCACTTCTTCTTTTCCTACAAACACTCAAACAACATGTATTTCCCGTTTTTTAGGTCTCAGTTTATCATTACTTGGATGTGTGTTGATTATGTTGTTTGATGGTGGTGTTGTTGGCATCACGTTTCTAACTCAAACTTTTCTCCATCTATCTCTCAATGAAATTCCCCCCAAATTAGATCAATATAAATGTGATTCAATGTAGAATGTACATGCAGAAATTGATGAGGAAATATTCATAAATAAAAAAGTTATGGGAGGTAGAGTAGGTTCACCCCTGAGCAGCCTTGGTTCATGGGATTTTCCCCGCCACAGGAGCCTATTTACCTGCGGCATTGAAGGGGTAAGCAAGTAAGATTAGGTATATCTATATTTACTGATTTCATTCCTTTTGTTCACTTCAGAAAATGATACATTGAGTCTACTTTATCTGCCAGCATACCAAAAATAAAGAGTCAAATAACATTCGAGAAGGGAAATTTTGGGATGCTCATTATTTGGTAAGCTGATTTTTTAAAACCCCAGTGAAATGTAACCCTGCTCTTTTCCACAGTGATGGTTTATGAACCTCAAGATCTTATTAAGCTTTCTGCTCATTTAGCCCTGGTCCAAGATTCATCAGCAGCCTTCTCCACAATATAGTTGAATAATTTAAAAAAGCGAGATCCGTGAAAGAAATGCTTGCAAGAGAAACAAAACACACAGAAAAAGAACCAGAAAGTGCAATGCTGTAAGGGGTGTTATGTTGTATTCTTTTTCTGCCAGTGAATGAGTCGGTGGAAGAGGCCCCATCAGAAGAACCTGTGCCGCAGCCTCCCCCTCCCTCACAGCCTGAGCAGCCTGACACAGAAGGTAAGGGACAGCATTTAATGACAGTGCATTAATACTTAACTCTTTTTTTGTTGTTGAAGGTCTTGAGTTTTTGTTTCATTGTTCTATTTTGCTTGGCATCCATGTCACCGCTTCTGAAACTGTAAAGTGGTTGTTTTTTTTGTGGTCTTTTCAAGCTTCTGTGTGATGTTGGTTTTGACTTGTGATTGTGCATTTCTAGGAACTGATGTGGAAACTGTTGGAAGTTCTTAATGCTATCTTGTTGCATTTTGTAGGTATAGAGTTCTGTATTTCTTTGCGTTTGAGATTTGTATACATGTCATATGTGCTTTTTGAGACCCCTGTACGTTTGCACCCTTTGTTATTGTTCCATTCACTAGCTGAATGTTTAGTGTTCTGTGAATTCTTTATCACTAGGTTCATTAACTAATATTGTTTCGTGGGTGGTTGGGGGGTGATGTGTTGTTTTGCTCCTTCTTTCCTATCAAACATCTGTTGTCCTTATTTCTCCTCCTTTTTTTGTGAATGTTCTTTCATGCAACACCTCTAATCCTAGGCACTTGTATGACCTTATTGTGTTGCAAGTGCTGTACAACTCTTACTACAACTAAAAGCAACACCTCTAATCTTCAGCACTTGTATGACCTAATTGTGTTTCACTAAAGCTAATATTTTTTCACTAAAAATGTGCTCTCACATTGGGCCTTACTGTCTCTTCTGTAGAAAAATAACTCTTTTCTTTGGATGAAGTCATTTTTAGAATTCTCACATATTATATATGTGGGTGGTTGGCGGGTGCTCTGGTGTGGTTTGCTCCTTCTTTCCTATCAAACATCTATCGTCCTTACCTCCCCGTCTTCTTTTTTATGTTTGTTACTCTTTTGTAATGATGTGCACACTACTACCAGGGTGTGCATGTTTTTGTTTTTTTACATGTCTTACATTGTGTATCTTTGTGTGCCCTCTCTTGAATTGTATGACTTGACTAACTTTCACCCAGTTAGCTCTGTGGCAGGGATGGGCATTTTCAGAATGTTTCCAGAATTTTAAGTTTCTATTTTCCCAGAACGTTCGTTATAAATTTAGGGGGGAAAAAAGCAAAACAAACAACATATACAATTTTGTTACTTGTATGCATATCATGTTTCATTCCGTGATGGAACCCCTTATTATTGCTCCTCATTGTTTTATTTGAAGTGCTCTTTTCTGATAGAAAATCTCTGGATTTTTCTAAAGTCATGCCCGTCCCTGCAGTGTCTTATTGATGTGCTTCACTTTTTCTGTTAACTGCATGGAGATTCCCCCCCATTGTGTTTATGTTATTGCTTTCTGTAGAGGAGGCCAGGCAGCCTGAGGAGTCCTCCAATGGTTATCTAGACACTAGCAGGACCTCCCAGTCCTCACAAGGTAGGCATTTCACCCACCCGCCTGCCGCTACACCTCAATCGCTCCCCTCCCCTGCTCTAGTGGGCAGGATGCTCTGACATCCTCACTCTATACTGTATTTGGAAAGTTTCTAGCTAAAGTTATCCAGGATGCTTTTGTTTTGATTTGGCACCGTATTTCTTTCTAATTGTATGAAATGGTGCAAGATAGGCTTTGCTTGTTCCCATTCATGTTCCGTTATGGTCTTTGCCTCTGATCGTCTCATCCTGGTTTTGTTTTCTTTTTGCCATCGTTTTCCTTTTCTTTTGAATTTTTTTGGTGATATTATTTTGGTTTTACCTGCTGCAGAACTGGCCATAAAGATTATATTGTTTTAAAATAATAAAGAGTAAGGAAATAAAAAAAAAAGAAATTTGGACTCAGTTACTTCCTCTGTGTGCCTCTGTTCCCCTTTGATTCCTGCTAAGCTTTCTCTGCTTTGACATGTTTCATTTTGTGTTTCGGAGGGTCAAGGTCTTTTGTCTGGTTGCATTGGTTTGCATTTTCTTTTTTTAACTCTAGTCATGTTGTAACAGAACAGTTTGATAACACTCAAGCCTTTTCATAAAAATGAATCACCTCTTCTTTTTTAACACTTGTAGCGTGACTCCTCCGGTGCCTTTTTGTGTGTGATGTCAGGGGTCTGTTATAAAGTCTGATGGATTTTCTATTAACAAAAATGTTTGTTATTGATTGTTTGGCAGATCTTTCTGTTCTTTTGTATTGTTTTCTTTAATTTGCCTCTCATTTCCACATTCTCTTCCATTTTCTTAATTTGGCACGTAACCTTTTTGTTTTTTTAAATTTATTTTTATTTTAGAATGTTTATATGCAAGATTGATTTGCATTGTTTTGTGCATTATGTCTGTCTGCGAGCTGTGTCCATATCAATTGCTGTGTGTATTTATTGTGGCATGGATGCTTTAGCTTCAGGCTGATATGTAGTATTAGTGAGTAATAACTGACTGTGAGAGCAGATGATTGTGGTTCCATGGTTGAAGCTTCAGTGTTACAAAAATAGCCTTATCTGTGCCTAGAATTTGAAATATCATATATATAGTTATTGCAGTTGTTTTTTTCTGTTTGTATTTTTATTTAAAGAGAGCATTGGATTGATGTTTTATGTTTAGTTTTTCTGAAAAACTTTTCCTTGGTTTTTATAAAGGAATGAATTATTTTTTCTCTAATATCATTTTATACCTTAAAATAACTTTAAAAAAAAGAAAAACTTATAACAAAAAGAGCAACTAATATTGAACAAAAACTTCACTTTGCACTTAACATAGTGGCATATTGAAAAGTGTCCTTACTGTCTGACAAGTGTCTCTGTTGTTGGTGACCATAGGGCCTCATGAAGAGGACTCACTGGCCAGGCTAGCTGACAAGGTGGTGCGGACTGTCATTAGCGATGCCCTGTCCGTCGTTCGGCAGGGTAAGGGGCAGCAGACACTGACGGGGGTTCCACCCCCTGTAAATAAACAGCACTCTTTTTCCTCTAACCAACCGCAGCAACAAACAATGGGTAGCCAGATATTATGTGACTATAGAGACTTCCTTGTAAACCAGGCTCTGATCAGGGCATACCATAGATTACAGAAGGAAAACGCTCAGAGAAGCAATGGTAGTGCTGAAGAGGAGGAAGATGAAGAAGAAGAAGAAGAAAATAATATAAACTTTAGCAGACCATATTTCCCATCTGAAAGGGGATATAATCTAGATCCGGGGGGATTTCACTCTAGTCTCGATCCAGATCCAGCCAATGAGAGGGTGTTGAATCCAGATGGGGCGGCGGGGGTTTACGCGGGTCAAACCGAGTGGCGCGAAGTCGGGGCCTCAACGCCGGAAGACGGTGGTTACGTCACCATTCAGTTAAATCCGATTCAGCTGTATCATGGTGAGGCGGAGGGTGGCGTGATGCGGGTCAAGTTCTCGGTGCAGTCCACAGTGAAGAGAAGGGTCAAGGCTGAGATGAACAGAGGGGGAGGCATTGAGGAGATCTACGCGGCCGTGACGAACCCCACTGTTCAGCACCTGCAGATGGCAGGCCACCCTGCTGGCTCTCCTGATGTTTTGTTGGAGCAGGAGACTTTTGTGCAGCCAGTGAAAGTTCAGAAAAAAGTACGAAGGAGAAGAGTTCGTAGAGGGAAGAGGCCAGGAAAGGAAGATTCGAATCTTCCAGCGGCTGCTGGTGTTGGCATTGAGGACAAGGAGAACCAGATTCCTAAACAGTCTCACCGACGGGTTCAACCTAAATCGACAGACCAAATTGGGAGACCTACACAGTCACAGTGCTGTGAACAGGAACAGGCATCAACTTCAAGCCTTCCTGTTTGTATTGAACCAGGGAATAAGTCGCCACGCCTGCCAGCTGGTTGTGTAGCTCAGGAACAAGTTCCTGTGGCAATGAAAGTACCTACCGTAGAACCCAATCAAATCCCAGCAATGGAACCCAGCCTAATTCATTCTCTAAAGTCAAACCAAAATGCAGCATTTGAGCCAAACCAAATTGCAGCATTTGAGCCAAATCAAAATTTAAATCTTGAGCCAAACCAAAAAATAACACTTGAGCCAAATCAGAAAGGAGTAATTCAGCTGAAAAAAAATGAGCCAAACGAAAAAACAGTGGCAGAGCAGCCAGTGGCTGTTATGGATGGTGAAGATGGAGTTCCAAAGAATGTTCACAGTTCTGAAAACCGGAGACCCATGGGTCCTGGAGGTAGTGCCTCAGGGCCGGGCAGTACTGCTTCTGTGCATTCTGGTTCATCTACCTGTGCTGGCGATGAGACCTCTGGAGGAAGTAGACCCTCCAATGCTTTCAGATACACCATTACACATCCAAGTGAGGCCAGCTCGGCTTCTCAACCTGTCGGGTATCTTTTTCGGAGCCCGCCCGTTCCCAGTGAAGGCCCAAATCTCCCCAAAGATGATGACATTAAATTTGTTGATGAAGATGATGATGAAGATGAAGAAGGCAAGCTGTTGGCCAAACGTGCCAGTGAGCACTCAAAGCTCCCAGAGGATTATGATGACATTAAATTTGCTGATGACGAAGATGATGAAGATGACAGTTGGTTAGTTCAATATAGCAATGAAGGAAGTAACACAAGTAGCCTTTCGTCACCTTCTGATGTGTCTGCTGGCGCTTCTGTCCCGACAACAAAGAAGTCGGTTGGGAGGCAAAATTTGCCTCCACCCCCGCTTCCGCCGATAGCAGTGGGGAAGTACACCAAAGCGAAGAAAAAGAGCAGCGGGGGGAGCAGACGTAAAGTGAAGCAATCTCGTCCACCTCTTTCGCCGGTGAAGGAGGAGTTTGACGGCACGGCAGAGGAAATGGAAGAGATGGAGGCCATATTGGAGGAGGCGGATGACAGCTTCGAGCAGCTGCTTATCAGTGCTGAGGATGATGTGCTCATCTCTTCCAAGTCAGATCAGAGCTCTCGGGATGATTTGGATTTGGATGATTTTGTTGGGGCTGCAGCTCCTGCTGTTATCAACGAGGAAGAGTTTGAGGCCTTAGCTTCTCATGTAAGCTTGACTTCTCCTGTGGTCAAGGAAGTGTTGAGATTTGTGGACAGGTCAGAGGAGAGGGTGGTGGTACGAAAGGAACAGTTTGAGTTGTCGTCACCTGATGAAGAGGAGACCGAGTCCCAAGAAGCAGCAGTGAAAAGAGTAACGGGAGAAATGAATTTGCGGGAGATTTCTGGGAGGGATGATCAAGATAAAAAGATGAGCAAACCCTTGGAACATAAACCAAAACCCTTGGAACCTGAACTAAAACCATTGGAGGTTGAGGACATGAGCAGTTCTGACGATGAGCTCCGAGAGTTTGCGGAAAGTCTTGGAAAGGGCTCTGGCGGTAGTGAGTCGGACACAGAGAGCCATGGTGTAGAGTCTCCTCCTGAGTTGGTTGGGCCTTCTGATATCGTAATGCATAATGTTGTAATGCACGCCCCTGAGATCATAGTTTGTCCTCCCTCAGCTTCAACTGAGAAGCTCATGAAGTTTAATGAAGTAGAAAAGCCTTTGGACGTAGAGGAGAATGCAACTGGCATTGGTAAGACATTTGAGCAGAAGCCTGAAGTAGAATTGCCATGTGAAACACCTTCCTCTACCATGACAGAAAGGAAAAGAGAACTGCCAAAGGCTGTCAAAGAGGAGCAGAAAGAAGAATTTACTGCAGCTTCTCGACCAAAAGTGGATGCTTCTGCAGCTGAAATGTCTTTTTCAAAAGAGAACCAAGGGGTGAAGATTGGTGAGGTCCCCCGTAAAACAACTTGCATTGATGATTTGAGTGGAGAAACAGGCTCTAGTGATGTACGAAGAAAAGAGACTTGTGTTGATGACTTGCCTTTTGCCGATGATGCTGACAATTACAGTCTGCAGGACAGAGATGATGCCAGGGATTTGACACGTGGCCTCACAGAAGGGATACCTGACTGTAGAATCAACACCAAGAATCATAGTAACAAAGAAAGTGGGTCGTCCAGGGGGCGTGAAGTGACAGATGTTGGTGATATAATTCCTGCCCAGTTTGTGGAAAGCAGTGAAATCAGCACTTTTGATCATACTTCTCCAAAGTATCAACAGTCTGTTGATTCTAAGCGTAAGAGAAAAAATGAGTGTGCTGAAATGCCAGGACAGACAAAACCTGCAACTGAAGTAAGCAAGCAGCCTTCAGAGTTTGAACGAAACAAAATTGTCACAAATGTGGATGACATTGATATGGATATAAATACAGCTGATCCAGCAGAGTTGAAAGTCGAAGGGAAGCCCAAAGGAAATTTAGGAAAGGCTGTTCAATATGTGCAAAAGCCTAAGAAAGGTGTCAAAGAACAGGGCAGAGATACTGAGAGAACTGGAAGAGAGTTTGAGAAAGTGAATAAAACTGAGAAAGGCAATGGGGATTTGGGAAAGGGCAGACTGTTTGTGGACCCAAAAAAATCTAAGGCTGGAAAAGCGAGACGAGACATAAAGGAAGTTGGAGGAGATCTTAATAGAGTCGGGCAAGATACTGAATGTCGTGGTAAAGAGGATGAAGGTGATGAGTCAGAGGACCTGAATGAGTCAGGTTCAATAAAACATAAAGAGGTATCGCAGCTAAGTCTGGATGAAGGTCCTATTGGAACTAGTTCACCAAAAATAGGAAGGGCGAACAAGTCTCAGGAGAGTCCGTTTAAGACCTACCCTCAGAAATTGGGAAAATCAGAAGAGACTTTACTGGACATTATGCCACTAAGACAACCCAAAGCCATGATAGTGGCCAAGTCTCAGGAGGGCCTAGTAGAGTCGAGTGATGATGAACCTGAGAATTTTCCTCTGTCCAGAACTTCGTCACTGGGACCTCACCACAGGAACAAGAGACACAAGAGGGTGGCTGCTCCCGTTGTTGTCAATAGCGCCTCCAAGGAAACTGACGTTGACGACATCAGCAGAGCCCCGGGGAGTCCAGGGAGAGAGGGCAAAGTGAAAGTGCTGGACCAGTACCACTTGATGAAGCACAATGAAATGATGGAACTCTCTAGTGCCAGGAGTGTGTTCAAACCAGCTCCTGGAGTTACTCCTTCAGTCAGCTCAGAGGCCTTGCCGCCCCTTCCTGAAACAACTGATGTCCCCAGCATCTCTGACTCTGAGGGTCGCCAGAAGCACGCTGAGGAATCACGAATTGCCCTCAGAGCTGCAAAGGTAAAAAGACAAGACTCAAATACAACTGGCGTGAGTGAGGTGACGGCATCAGAAGATGGAACTCCGAAGAAGAGATGGGTGCCCAAGCAGCGAAGAGACAAGCGCAAAGGTCAGAGGCAAGCAGAAGAAATTGGGCAGAATGAGACCACTGACAGTGTCAAGGCCGAAACTCAACACTCCGAGGACCATAGGGAAAGTCCTTCACAAGTCCGGCGTATTGGTCGTGTTGCTGTTAATTCAGGCACAGTTCCCGTTGACAATGGACTGTCTGACCCTTCGGCCATTGCTTCCCCTGTGGAAATTAAAGAGGACCGGGGAGTTGTTCATAAAATGCAAGAAACTGATATTGATGCAGTGTATGTAAATGAGGACCCCAGTGTAGAAGACATTGAAAAGGATGCCAATGAAAGGCCCCATCGAGACCTTGACAAAGTTCACATGGAGGAGTCGGGAGACGCTGACAAAATATATAAAGATGAGAACATTTTCACAGAGAAAAATGAGGAAGGATTGCATGCTTTTGCACCGTCGGCTGGTGACATTGATGAACGTATGAGTGACAACCATCCACGTTCCAGTCAGGTTGCCAAGAGGGACACGCTTGTCGTATCTGACTTGGAATCTCATGGAAAGAAGCCTTTGACTGACAAAGTGCACTTGTATCCTGACCAGATGAACAGACATACAATGGGTGGAGAGGAGTTGGGTGATTGTAGCAAAGTGGGTTTGGATCCTAACCAAATGAACAGAGATTCAGAGGTTCGAGATAGTGAACTGGTTAATAACAGGAACTTGGGTTTTGATCCCGATCGGATGATCGGACACACAGAGGCTCCAGATGAACAGGTTGATTATGAGACTGTTGGAAGGAGAGAGTCGGAGATCAAAGATAGTGACAATGAGTTGATTGACGGTGAGTCTGGTCGGAGAAGAGAATCAGGAGGGACAAAAGGAGACAACAGACGTGGTAGAGATGAAAAGGACAGAAGAGACGAGAGAGGAGACAGGAGTGGCCGAGAGGATGGAGATCGGGGTGATAGAGGAAGGCGTGATGGTGGCGGTCGGGATAGGAGGAGTCATGATGACGGGGATAGACGGAAGAGGGATGATGATGATGATGATGATGATGATAAGGAGAAAAGAAACAGGAAGGATAGAGATATCAGAGAAGCTTCTGGAAGAAGACGGAAAAGGTCAGGTGATGAGAGTGATGGAGAAAATGAAATGGATCAAGAAAACTCTGAACGAGATGAGGATAGGAGGGGCTCTTGGGGAAAGAGGAAGCACGCTGGAAGACATGACAGAAAAGACTTTGACAGGGAGGGTGTAGATGACCACTGGAGAGGTGGGGGTGATGAAAATGGAAGATGGAGTGGCGGGAAGAGAAGAGACAGACATAGCAATGTCAGAGACAGAGACAACCAAAGAGATTCTGATAGAAGACTAAATGAGGAGGACAAGAACAGACGACAGAATGATGGGACAGACAAAGAACGGAGGAAACCTTATGACTCTGATAGGAAACAAAATCATGATGATTTTACTGGGAGCAAAGAACAAGGTAACAGAGAAGATTTAAGACGCAATGATCTTGATGAAAAAGACAACAGAAGGAGCAGCAACAGAAGTTGGAAGAGAAAATCTGATAATCCAGGCAGAGGAAGGACTGTTGAAAGAAGTGCTGATGAATATGATAAGTACAGTCCAGGACAGGTACCGAATGCAGAGCTGTCACAATCTGGGTACCAGGACTTGAATGAGACTGATCTAAAGGAGGAGGGCTCTGTTGTAGATTCTCAAGCAGACGAAAAAAGACCTTACGTTCGTCGAAGCAGAGCTGATCGTAGAAGTCGTCAGAAGAGGCCTGCAAGGTCAGATGGATCAGACACTGGGCACAGAACCTCCTACAGCACCAACATCGATGACCCCCCTTCCCTTTCTGTCGACAGTTCATTTTCACCAGGGAAGATTGAAGTGTTAGAGATGACGTCTCCTGACTCTCACCTCCGAGCCCCTCGCTTGGATCCTGATGTCCAAAGCTCCCCGCGCCTGAGTCGGCGCCGGGGCGGAGCCATCGCCCCACGTGATGAGAGTGACAAGAGGAGAGCCAATTTGTACGGGGCCATCGGCAAAGACAAATCTAAAATGCCCAAGAAAGATGACGGTCTTCTGAAGGTGAGCAGATTAGGAGACAGTCTCACCGACTACCTGAGACGATCCAATGTATCTCTTGCCAGCTCGACTCACTCTAGAAGATCCCACAGTAGCAGCAGAGTGTTCGACAACTCTCCAGAGCACATTCCTCCAAAACCCCAGATTGACCCTCTGACCGGAGAGCCGTTCTACTTCATTCACCCTCTGATGAGCAAGTCTATGGAAAGTTTGCGCTCTCGCTCCAGTGAAAGGGGCAGTCTACGACGGTCAGACCACAGCCCCACGAAAACAAGTGTGTCTGGTGCAGAGCTATCGCCTGTGAAAACAGAAACCTTCATGCCTGATGACAGCGTTCCTTCTGAATCTGTCCCTCAGGCTGCAAAGAGTGAGACAGATATGCCAAACAGACGGCATGAGTCGGTTGGCAAAGAGAGTGGTGACGTTGAGGACGTGTACGAACCAGTAGTACCGCTTCAAGATGACAGTAATTTTAGGCATGGATCTCATCAAGCGCCTGAAGCAGCTAAGATGAATGCAGAGAAAGATCTCAACCTAAAGTCTGAAGGTAGGATTGACGTTGATGGCAGACACAGCTCGGAGAAGAATGTCAGTGTGGAGCGCCCAGACATGGAGATGGAGAAACAAGGAGAATTTGAAGGTGGTCGGGACCGTGGTCGTTATGGCAGTAGAGGGGACCATAAGGATGACAGAGAGGAGAGGAGTTATGACAGAGGAACTGATGGAGAAAACTCACCTTCATGGCGTGGAGACCACAAGGGGAGAAGGAACGATGGTTACGCTCTGCCCGAAAACGAAAATAGACAAGAACATAATTCCAAAGACTTATCAGTCGAGAATGATGAAACTGATGTCCGAGCACCTCGTGAAAGTGACAGAAGACACAAGCATAACAGTAGTGGTAGACATGACGCTGACGATGCACCACATGATCATGGCAAAAGACGTAGTCATGACGATGACAGAAGGCGTAGGCATGATGATGAATTTTCGCGTGATGAAGAGGACTTGTCTCGTGAAGACGAACGAAGGCATAGGCGTGACGAAAAGGACAGTAGACGTTACCGTGACGCAGACCGACGGCGTGAAGGTGACAGGAGACGTAGACATGATGATGATGACTCATTTTTGGAAGAGGATCAGGATGAGAGGAGAGATTATGATAAGTCAACTCGTGAGGACGACAGAAGGAGAAGGAGGAATAAAGAGGAAAGGCGAAGATCAGATCCAGATAAAGATGATAGAAGAAGATCAGGGCGAGATAAAGATAATAGACACAGATCAGAACCGGATAGAGATGATAGTCAAAGATCAGAATCGGGAAGAGATGATAGACGGAGATCAGATCCAGATAAAGATGATAGGCGAAGATCCGATCCAGATAAAGATAATAGACGAAGATCAGGGCGAGATAAAGATGATAGACACAGATCAGAACCGGATAGAGATGATAGTCGAAGATTAGATCCGGAAAGAGATGCCAGACGATCAGAACCAGATAGAGATGATAGACAAAGATCAGAACCAGATGATGACAGACGGCATGATGCAGGTGAAAGAAGACGACGAAGGGGTAAAACTAACGATAGACCTGAAGAGGAAGATGAGTCTATAGAGAGAGATCACAAGAAATCAAGTGGTGATGACAGACGCAGAGATCGTCGGAGATACAGAGATGAAGACAATGATGATGACCAAGATGACAGAATGGAGGGGAAAACCCGGCGCAAGAGTGAAGAGAGAAAACCTGATCATGCTCAAATCAAGCGAGGCACGAGACGACATCGGAGTGAAGACATACCTCATGCACCCTCAGAGGCTAATGTGAAAACTGATTTGGGGCCATTGTTGGCGGAAAATCCCATTGAAGTTCAGCTCGAGCAAGAGAAGCCTGAAGAAGATGATGATTCACCACCTTTATCCCCAAAGAAAGGTTTCCTGAGCAGGCTTAGTTGTGTGGGCGGTAGGAGTTCTGATGTGTCTCAAAAGAAAGACAAGTCAAAAAATAAGGCTCCATTGGAGAAAACGAAGGAGGACAACAAAAAAGGGAGGGATTTTTATGATGAAGGAGAAAAGCGGAAAATAAAGAAGCTGGCAAAAGATCAGGAAAAGCAGCCCAAAGATCTGTATTTCATCGAAGCGGAAGACCATCAGCTGGGCAAAGAAGAGGATGTCGATCAAGATACTAAAGAAAGTCCCATAGCACCTGATGGCGCACCTTCTAGAACACCAGATTATTCTCCTCACTTTTCCGAATCTCAACCAAGAAGAGCGCATTACACTAAAAAGTCAGATTCCTTAGAGCGCCGTAAGCCCTTATCAACATTTACGGAACCGATCAAACCACTCGAGTTGGATCATTTTGACGACCTGTTGCCAATGGACGATCGTGTAAATGATGTACTCTCGAGAATAGCAGAGGAGGAGAGTCTTCAAAGTGTTGCCTCGTCTAGCAGAGACGCGACGAAAGTGAGTACATTTAAGACTGCTAGTGAAATGGGTAATGATTTTCCAAGCAGCAGACAGGAGCCACAGGAAACACATGGGTTTGCAAGTAACTCAGATGCAGAAAAACAGGACAGAAGCTGGAACGCAGAAGATGAAGAACCTGCCGCGAAGGAAACGCCGAGAAGCAAAACTTGGGAGCCTAGAGCGAGAAGAGATTTGACCTCAAGACCCCGATCGAGGCCGTCGGTGTCACCTCCCAAAGTCCCTTTACTTCCTGGCGGAAGTGGTGGCTCGTATGGGGAGGCGGGTGTCGGTCAGTCAGGAAATATTCAAGACATGGAATCCCCACCTCTTGATTCTGCTGCTCTTCATCGGTCACAGGAGGAAGACTCGAGTTTCGAGAGTCCGATTCAAGAACTGAATACCTCTGCTCCTGCCCACTTCAACGTGGGTCATCGGAACGTGTTTGGTCCCGCCCGCGACCACAACGACAGCGGCGGTGGGCCGGACGACGATCCAGTCCATTTGACAGACAGCTCTGTAGACCCGTCCTCTTCTTTCGACACGTCCGACTTGAATCACAGACGTCGAAACCGCGCAGTGTCCTTCGACGACGGCTACACGCCCACGCTCTCCAACCCGCCCTTTTCGCGCCTCCCACAAGATGGAGTCGTCGGCAGCAGCGACGGTTTACCCGCCCGCCGCCGCGTGTCGCAGACCTCAATCGGCACGCTAGAGTCTGGCTCTTCTCGTCCGCGTTCTACCTCTACCACGTCATCAAACCCACTCACATACCAGCCGTGGCGCGCCAAAGCTCGCCGCCGCAGCCGCTCCATGTCCATCAGCGAGATGGTCTACGCTGCTGGTGTACCACGTCCACGACGCTCACACTCCATCGGCGAGATTTTCAACAGCACTGTGGCCAGCAGTGTAGCTCGCCGACGTTCACGAACCCCGTCCGTCGGCGACATTCAGACGCGCATGTACCAGCCCCGACAGCGTAGCCGCTCGCGCGCCTCGCTAGGGGACACCTCCTTTGGTTCTGCTGCCCCTGCTCGGCAGCGGCGCATTTCTCGCGAGTCCGTCACCGCCGGCAGCGGCGATCAGGTGGCCCACTCTGCACACCCTGCTGCCGGTAACGCCATCTTTTGATTTTCGCCTACCACCATCTACCTTTTCCCTTCTCCATTGCATGCTATAACGCCGAATGTAGAGGGAGCGCTTCTCTAATGCGTCAGCCGGCTGGGTCAGACGGTTTTTTTCCGTCGATCTATACAACATAGCTTCATATCTAAGAGCATTACTTTCACCATCCTATATTGTATACAAATGTAGTTGCGAGGTTCACTTATCATTAGTCTGTTTGCTGTGCGTCCTATATAAACGTAGTCTGGGCAAGCTTTGTGAACTTAAGAAGAAAAAAAAAGACAAATACTGTTTGAATTGTCTTATTTAAAACCATTTTTCTATCATTATTTCTATTATTATTCTATACACAGCGATACTAAATTAATCTTCATCATTGCATAGTCAGATTTCGCCAAAGTAATTGTCGCTTATTCTGTAACACTTAACTTTAAATTCTGGTTGAATAGTTTTTTTTCTTAGTAGAACCATCGTTACTGGCAAATTGCTTCTCTCTTCGTGCTCTGGCAGATTTTATCACAGTTTTAAAAAAAAATCGGTCCCGACAGTTTTATCTCAAAGGGCTCCTTAACCATGCGTCCGAAAACAAGTATCTTGTTATGGTATTGGCAGCTCTTTTACGGGGCATCCTTGGAACGTGTTTTGTTTGGATTCTACTCCTTCCTTTAATAATATTTTTTAGGACATATATTTACTCAAGTATGCAGGGGTCTATGTTTTAAAGAAAAAGAATAGAAAGAAGAGAGATTACAATGTTCCAGATCCAGAGTAGAGCTTTTTTCTTTTGTACTCATTGGCGCTTTGGTTTCTATTTGAATACTGACTGCATAGGGTATTTATACTTCATGCTAGTTCTCATGACTCTTTGTCTTTGTAGTTTCTCTGCCAGTCAGTCATGAACTTGATGGTCTTCTTTATGTTGAGACTTTGCTGATTTCGCTGATCTCCTCGATTAATTAAGAGTGCGCTGATTTTGGCGCTAGACCCCATCTGGCCATCAGTATCTAGTTGTGAGAGTACGTCGAGGTCATTGCTACTGGCGTTAAACTTTTTTTCTTTCTGACCAACTGATACAATGTTTCGCTGGTTCCTGTTCCAAGGATTCCCCAGCCTGGCGCGTTCTCGCTCGGCGTACTGACGCATGTAGAGAAGTCCTCTGTTACATTGAATTTCAGCGCCATGTCGCACGCCGCGTGGTTCGGCCGATATATTATGACTTTCGCTCCGCCGCGCGGCGCGACAGAGCAACGCCGTGTGGCGTAACTCCGCAACAGCGCGCGTTGAGTTCATGTAGACCACCCTGTGTGTAATATCTGGGCATTGTTCTATAATAAACACTACTGACAGGTGACCAGTCGCTTTTCACCCCTTCCTCTCTCAAGACTCAAGACTGACTGACTGACTCTCTCTCTCTCTCTCTCTCTCTCTCTCTCTCTCTCTCTCTCTCTCTCTCTCTCTCTCTCTCTCTCTCTCTCTCTCTCTCTCTCCCTCCCTCCCTCCCTCCCCCTCTCTCTGTGCGTAACACACACATTGATCCAAAAGGGGAACATTTCTTGCGTTGGGTGTTCTGTCTTTTTTTAACGAAAATTCATTACTAAAGCGTCTGTTGTGAGAAGATTTTTTAAAAGCTGTCAGTGAGATGTAAAAATGAGACTTTGCAATATGGAAGAGCATCCCCACTTCTCACGAATACCACGCTCCTCAGGCCCGCGTCCAGCCTTCCACTGAGCTCATTGCTCTTGTGTTCATTTTGCGTTCGAAAACTCGATAGCTCTGTTTGCCTTTCAACCTAGATCTGTGGATCTTCCGGGCATACATAAAAGTCAGGGTAAGAGCTGGGGGGGGGGGGGGGGGGGGCGAGAGAGAGAGAGAGAGAGAGAGAGAGAGAGAGAGAGAGAGAGAGAGAGAGAGAGAGAGACCCTGTTGGGATTTTTAGTTTGACCTCTCCACCCCTCCCCACCTGAGACAGGCCCCTAAGTTAATGCCCGTTTTTTAAAGCTCGGTTATGTTGAATGGGGCATAAAAATAGATGGTACAATAGTGGCCGGCCGCGTCTGCCGGGTCAAGTGGCTCTGGCTGTAGCATCGTTTATATGAAGGTCTTGGTCCAGGGTCCGAAGCTCTTAGAATGTTAGAGGAGTTGGGCTTTTTTAGGGGGGGGGGGTAGATAGAGAGGGTGGGTTGAGGGTGTATAGTGAGATATTTGGAAGGGGAAAGGTACAATTGAGTGGGGGGGAGGGGGAGACTTTATGGACTTTTGCGAACTGTTCCCTGTTGACAAATGCGCGTTTAAATGCGTGCGTCGTCTGTAAAACTGCGGAGGTGAGCTGAAAGACCGATAAATGCATTCATAATCTGCGCCAAACGCGATATTAAAACCTTCAGTCTGATTCAAACGACAGGACGAGCGTGCGGGGGGCTTACGACTTGGTCACCGGCGTTGTAGTTGTAGAGCTGAACGTGTCCCAGACTTACACCGGGTGTTTCTAAAGTTACTCTGCGCCAACAAGTGTTAGAGTTGTATGCTGTTGTATAAATGTCCCAATGAATTGGGGCAAACTTTGTTGTATATAATATTATATACGCAACACTCCATAGCCACCTGTTTATAACTGTCTAACTTTCAGTACAAATACATTTAGTGTAACCGTGATACCATATTACCTAATCTTTTGGTAAATAGGTGTCTTGTTGCAGAAATCTATGTGGTAACCTAACAAATAAAATGTATTTATTAAACCACCATGTACTTGTTTGTGTGTGTGGAAATACCAAACTCACTTACTCGATGTCAAGATAGGAGCACGTATCGTAACAACCAGTGAAATCAAGACGTAATACATGTAGTGTGTGGTAACTGTTGGTCTTGGAACTCGACTTGAAATTTACGAGAGGCATCGTAGGGCCTACTACGATCATTGTGTGGTACACGGGACAAGTGTGTGCCTGGGTCTTTGCATGAAGCCTATGTCTATTTGCTTCCCCCCTCACGCATGCTGAGCCCAATTTTTGTTAGAAGCGTATTTGCATTAGAAAGCATCGTGGTTGGTCGCGGTTGGATGCTGATGGCAAACAGGATAATGGTTTGTGTATTCATAGAAGAGAGGAAAGGGTAGTGTGTGTGTGTGTGTGTGTGTGTGTGTGTGTGTGTGTGTGTGTGTGTGTGTGTGTGTGTGTGTGTGTGCGCGTGGGTGCGTGTGTGTGTTTGTGTGTGTGCGTGCGCGCACATACACATATTATGACGTTAGGACTAGTTCAATGGGAAGTCGTGTCTGCAGATGTAAAGTTTGTTTTCGCCCCTACACCGTGGTAATGATGTCAGTGTGACGTCTAGTTACAGAACTCAACTCCAGCAATGCCTTCTAACGTTGCAGGCAAAGGAACATACCATGGCTTCGTCTTCTCCCTAGTCGTCGTTTACTCTATCTTTTGAAATGTAATTCTGACACTTAAAAAAGTGTGTGTGTGTGTGTGTGTGTGTGTGTGTGTGTGTGTGTGTGTGTGTGTGTGTGTGTGTGTGTGGGGGGGGGGGGGGGGGACCTTCCATTGATAACTTGAAGCCCAGGTGGGTGATGTCTCTAGAGCGCGTGGTAGTGGGGACACTGGGAATGGGAAAGACAAATCGAGTGGAGCGTTAGTCGTGTGTGAATAAGTGAACGGACTACACAGTCGCCAGCTGCTGTCCACTTCTACTCTGAAAAGGCACGTTAGACCTCTGGACCAGTTGATGACGTCGAAAATTTCAACGTGCAGCTTACACCCCTACACCCCCCCCCCCCTCTCACCGGACGGCGCTTATTGAAGTCTCAAGCAAATCAGCATCATCAGTGATTTATGGCCTAGCGTTGTGTGCTGGTTTTATTTTGCGCGCTCGGAGCTGTAGATATTTCCAATGTAATGAGAGAGTAATTTGCATCGTATCTTAATGGTGCATCCATTTCGTTGGAAGAAGAATTTATTGGCAAGGGTTTTGTGGTAGATTGTACGAATAGGGAAGCGGTTGACTCTATGAATGAATACGCAAGCAAAAAAAAAAAAAAAAAAAAAAAAAAAAAAAGAAAAAAAAAAGGAAAAAAAAAAAGAAAAGAATAGTAACGATAAGAAAAACAATACGTCTTTCATAATGACAGCAGGTGGCAATAAACCCCCAAAATTGCTTCTCCGAAGAACAGGGTGTTTCTTCTGTTGCCAGCCCTTAAAATGATAAACAAGAAGGAGCTAGTCTAGTCATTATCTGGCCGCCCAGTTTGTTGTATTTTTTAGGACTGGGGTTCCCTCCGCCTCTTTCTGTCTATGATTTGGCTTTCCAGGTTTCAATCTCTGTCGCTTTTTGTGTTTCACCGTTGATTTCTTGGCACACAGACTCAATTTTTGTTTGACTTTAAAGGTTTCCCCAGTAACGCAACATTCTCTTGAGTGTTTTGGATGGTTACGGAATTTGAAGTGCACTTATAAGTTTGTTAACATCACAGCGTGTTTGCTGTGGATTTCATTTAATTTCATATAATCATTGCTGTTGAAATGTTTCATGTTTTCACAAAGATTCAGACATATTAGAGCGGCAGACCTGACATGACAGGCAGGGTCGAAGCCCACCTCCTAAATGATCTAACGTAACCTCCCCCCCCCCCCCACAAATAAATATTTAAAGTTAGAGCTGCAGAGATTTTAGACTACAACCTATGGAAGAGTAGCTGACAAGTGTTTTTAGTTCTTGAGATAATCCGATCTTCCTCAGACGGCTTTATTGTGAAAGGGGTTTGATAATGGAACGAGTTTTTTGGAAGCTGTTGGAACAGGGCATGTTGACATCTGCTAGTGCCTCTGTCGATCTGTTAGGAGGATACATACAGCAAGCTCCTGTAATAGAGCTACGCTGATTTCCTGTCCGCCCTATACATCTTAGAGCCATTCGCTTATCCCTCTCCCCCTTTTCCCCCCACGGCCTATCCTTCTCTCTGTACCTCTAAACGTGCTTACTTTGCTTCTGGAGAGCTCGCTCTTGAGCCAAGTGGGGCGCCTGTGGCCCTCATTCGCTCGCCGGCGTTTATCAAAAGCACGATCGTTTTCTATTTCTGAACTCTACAGCGACCACTCATTTACAACAAGGCCCTGAGAGCTAGTTGGGAGTATTGTGTGTGTGTGTGTGTGTGTGTGTGTGTGTGTGTGTGTGTGTGAGAGAGAGAGAGAGAGAGAGAGAGAGAGAGAGAGAGAGAGAGAGAGAGCGAGAGAGATTTGGCCCGTTTAAGAGTGTAATGGCAAGGAAAATTGCGTTAAAGCAGTTCGCAGACCAGAAGGCTTTAGATCTAATCCGAATTAAGCACAAATGATAAAAATCTCGTCCTGATAGACACCCCCCCCCCCCACATAAATATGCCTTGTCGGTGTTAATTCCTTCCCCTGTCAGTCTCAAAACCCGTAGCATGGCTGGGGTGTAACTCGGGACTTATCTAAACGAGCAGCCCATTGAAGAAAGTCGCCGTCGATGTTAGAATAAAATTGTTTCAGTTATTGCTGTAAACGCTCAACTTCAATTGTGCCTTTACCAAACACACACATGTACACACACTCAAACACATTCACACACACTCACACACACACACACACACACACACACACACACACACACACACACACACACAAACAAACGCGCGCGCGCACAGGCACCCATGCACACAAGCGCACCGATAACTACACTTTCTTTCCTTTGTAGAAATTTATATTGAAGTATTTTTTTCCCTGACGTAAGCACACGTAAACAGATGAGAGTGTTTGAGTGCTTCTGTACCTAACCATTGCTTAATAAACGAAAATCACTCTGCTGTCGTATATATGAGTATGAGCTTTGCCTTTCCATATATTGGTCCTCATTTCCCTCTCCTCATATATTACTACAAGCTGTAAGCTGAGCTTATGCTTTGGTATATCATTCTATACTGCATGTTTTTAGGAAATTGCCTACAAGCTTTGCATGTCGTGTTTCGTAACGTACTGTGTAGGAAGTGGAATGCTGGTGGCAAATGAACCCCTTGGTCATCAATAACTGGAGACCCTCAGAACTATAGCCAGGCCATACCTTTTGTATCAACGCTTGCATTGTGCGAGAGAAGAAGCAATGGCATCAAGCGCCAATTGATTAAGAAGCTATTCAAGTTCCTATAGAGCCATGGAATGTGAAAGCAAAGAAATACACTAGGCAATATTGTGTACAAACAAGATATTACAATGTTGTCTCTTATGGTTTATGTTGTTGACTTCGTCATTTAAGTCTTTTGTATTAATCAGTTCAAGTACTTTCAGAAGTTAAATGCTGTCATGTCTTAACTTGTTTATTTTCTCAGCGTAAAGAAAAACACACCTTTAAAACAGACAGTTTTTTTTTGCTCTAACGTGTGCTGTTGTCACATTGGAACTGCTTCAGCCCTTTTAACAATTTATTAATTGGCGTGGCAGATGCTGACAGTGAAAGGGAAACAACTTCTGGTTCTGACACTGGGCACTGTAACTACTACACAGGTTGTCTCCCATTTCAACGTTCCGCAGTTAGGGGGCTTGGCATCCCTCATTTGTTCACACCCCTCCCTTTTTCAGTCGCTGCGTTATTGTTTTGCCCAACTGAAAATTTTGTTTAAGTTTAAGTCTTTTAGTGTATTTTGCATAAATTACTGAGATAATGGATGATCATCGACTTACACAAATCAAAGGGACTGTAGTCCCCCCCTTTCTTATTCGCTTTTAGTGCGAGCTGTAGCCCATGAACAGAAAATGTCTGAACTAGAAACATTTTGTTTGTCTGTCAGCAGATGATCGATTTTCTGGAGGAGAAAAAATGGAAATAAAAGAAGTTCGTCATCAGTGATAAATCATTTTGATATCCATATATTAAAAAATGTTTAATACCAAATGACAGTAATCTAAAGGAATGTTTTTTTTCTGAAGTGAAATCTTCCCCAAACATTTTAAAAAGAAATCAAAGTTACAAGTGTTTTACTATCTTCAGGAATACCACCCCACTCTCCCCATAGTTCAAGAGATTTTTCAACTGTTTTGTATTTTTGGTTGTTTCTTTGGGTTTTAGACATTCATTTTTCTTTCTTTTGTTTCCCTTATTTCCCCCTTTTCTTTACAGTTTCTTTACTTTAGTGGTTTGCTTGTTTATTTGCATTGGAGCTTTTGGTTTGCCTCAGTTGTGCATTGATTTGTGCATTTTGGTTATGTTTGCATGTGTGGACAGACCCAGCCAACTCTGCAGTTAAGAGATCTGAGTCTGAGAGACAACCTAGTAGAAATCCAGAACGTAAGTGTTTTGATGTTCATGTTACTAGTTCATTAGAAGTCCAGAACCTAAGACTTGCTTACAATGTTAGTTTTCACCCCATGATTATGTGCTGTCGATCAAGCAGAAATTGAACATGCAAGTTTTGACATAATATTTTACTAGTCCGTTTTAAATCTAGAGATTGATTTAAAAATTTTAAAAACTATTTTTACTAGATTTCAAATCTATCTCATTAATGACGTTCATTTTGTACTTGAAAGTTAAGGAAGTTGTAATATAAGTATAGAGTTCCAATTTCTGTGGGAAAAGCTGATGGGCTGTGTTAGTTTTGGTCTTCTTTATAGGAAGTGTTTGTGTGGTAGAGTAGACGACGAATTGAATGTGAGATTTTAAAATGCATCACATTTGATGAAGAGAAACTTTTTGGACAAATGAAAGTTTGATACCTGTCATGTCACAGACATACACTCGCAGGAGAGCTTCAGCTTGTATGTTTTATGTGAAAATCTTTTTGTTTGATTTTGGTTTTTTTATATTTCCATTTGGTTCATGAAGTTATTTTGATTTCTTTTTCTCATGTTTTGCTTCAAAGTGGTTGAAGATTTGGATCGCAAAAATGTAGAGAGGTCTAAGTCTGACCGGAAACCCCAGCTAAGTAAGTTAACAAAATTTTCAGCTGTTGAAAACTTACTAAGCTTGATATACATAAAGTTTTTCTAGTCCAATAGCATAAATTGTGGATTATTTTAGGTTACTATGTCTTTGAAATGCAACATCACGTCTAGTGGTTTTTAACCATTTAATTTAGAGGAAGTCAATAATCAAAACATTGAAATGGGATTCTGTCACATTTGTAGGTGAACAGTTAAAAGAGAAAAGATTGCCTTGTTTATTAATGTTTTCTGTTTGTTAGCTCTTGTTTGGTATTGCTCATGCATGGTTGCAAATGGGAATGTGAAGAATTTGAATGTTCTAGCAATTGCTTAGTTGGTTTTGTGGCAAGACTTATAGTTGTTACAAATATTGCTATGCATTTGTAAAGAAGTGGTGAGGATGTGCCAACATTTTCAATTTTGCTTTTCATTAATGTGTATTGTATGTAGTTCTCCCTTATCTTTTTATATGTCAATTACCCTGTTTTCAAAATGATTATGCTGGCATGGCAAGCAGCTAGAGTGAGTTGCCTGTGTTATAAGAGCTTTGTTGGCAGCACTCATTGATGAAGTTTTTGTAATCCAAACTCACCATATATGTATTATAATGTCTTCTTGTAATGGAGCTGAAAAATAAGAGCAGGACAGTGGTACTGTTTTAAGCATTATTATTTGTTTGTCATAAAACCTTGATATATATATTTCTGATTATCGCTGACCACATGGGATACAGACACCCCAAAAGGCAAATGTTAACTTCTTTGGTTAACTACTGTGTCTACTGATAGCATGGGTCTTCAAGTTTTCGCTGAAATAGGCACTTTTCATATCACATGATATTAGCCATGCACAGACGTAAGGACTGTTGCGTCTTTCTTATACATTTTTTTTCCTTTTCATTCGTCAACCATTCATTCTGTTGAATTGTTTTGTGAATATGTTGGTGAATTTTTGGGTTGGAGGGTGTTATGAGTATTTACTATTTCTTTACTTTCTCCCTGTTGTGTCTGTCTGTCCATCTGTCTTGCTTTTCCTCAATGCTAAATGATGGTTAAGTGTTGATATGTTTACCTGTACTCAATCTCTATCTGGTGTATTGTGTATGTCTGCAGGGGAAGAGCTTGGAGAGGACAAGCCAGCGTCCCCAGCAAAGTCTGACACTCTGAGGTCCACAGACAGCGCCAGTGGAGGGGAGACTCTGGAAGAGAGGAGCAGCAAGGAGGTAACTTTCACTTTTTGGGCATGTTCTTTCTCTTTGTTATCTTTCACTCTCCGTTAGCTATTTTAACAAGTGGTTGAAAGGGGCTATTAGCAGGTCCTAATTCTTTGCTCCCGATATATTTGTTAATCAGTTTTGCTTTTTCCTGGTACGAAATATTTGTCATTGTGAAGATGTGCATCTCTTTGTTGACAAAAAATGTATGTTCATTTACTGTAACTCATTGAAAAGTGTTTGGGGCTTTGTAGTAATTGGCTTCTTCTACTTTCCTTTTTCTTTGTTACTCTTGTCCTTTTCTGTTTTTAGAGTTAAGTATGTGTTATGCTGTTAGGTAATAAACTGCAATTAATGGGTGGTTGGCGGGTGCTCTGGTGTGGTTTGCTTCTTCTTTCCTATCAAACATCTATCGTCCTTATCTCCCCTTTTTCTTTTTTATGTTTGTTACTCTCTTGTAACACCTCTAATCTTCTGGCGCTCATATGACCTTATGCAGTTGCGAGCGCTGTAAAACCTCTACTAAAAAAACCAAATAAACTGCAACTAGATATTTTGTTGAACTTTCGATGCTGTTACTTTTGTGCCATTTCATGACATTTTTCAGTTGTTACTTTTCTAGAATGTCTTTCCCTTACCACAGATGGTTAGTTGGAGGGTGCCTTTTTAAGGATTAAGAGGATATTGTTTAAGGCATGTCTGTGACAAGCTTTCATATACTCCAATCACACAAACCGCCACACACACATGCACTCCTGCACACATTGGAGCCTGCACGCATGCACGCACGAGCACTCGCAAACACGCGCGCGCACGCGCACGAGCACTCGCAAACACGCGCGCGCGCGCACGCACACGCACACACACACACACACACACACACACACACACACACACACACACACACACACACACACACACACACACACACACACAAACTGACTGACTGACTCAGACGCACACACACACACACAAACTGACTGACTGACTCAGACGCACACACACACACACAAACTGACTGACTGACTCAGACGCACACACACACACACATCAAAGTATATGACACACACACACATCAGAGGTATGTGCTAGGATGTTTCAGTTCAATTTCTTTTCTTACCTTTTTATGGTATATCTCCATCTCTGCTTCTCCTCCACAGAAAAAAATAACCCTCGAGCATTTTGTTTTCTCTTTTGCTTTTTAAAAAATATGATAAAGCGATCTTCTGTATTTTAAAACAATTCCTTCAAGTTTCTTTTTTCTGATTCGAAATTCAAATGTCCTCAGGGATCTCCGACAAAAGAGCATCCATCTCCTACTAAGGACAAAAAGAAAAAGAAGAAGTTCCGCATGCCGTCATTCTCCAAGAAGAAGAACAAGGAAAGCAAAGAGAGTGCCATCTGAGACCGGGACGCTGCTGACTAGAAGGCCCCTCGTCCACCATTTACTTACTTGTTCACTAACTGGCCTGGCCACCACTGACCACTAGATCGGCCTCCAGGACCTCCACTCCCCACTGCCCTTCTCTCCTCTCTCATCCCAGCTCATGTCATCATTTCAGTAGAATAATTAGTATTGTCCCATCTCTCATCTTCAGAGCACTCTCTCTGCATCGCTTGCCTTATTGCTCCCGTTATTGCCTCTAATGGGATTTGCTTTGATTTCTTTTGTTGCTTGCAAATTATTTTTTAAGAATATCGCTATAGTGCTAGCTAATCTCTTTCGTTTATCAAATCAGCAAAGAGCATTTTGTAATCCCCTTTAAGAGAGGTTAGTCTGCTATTATTACCAGCAATGCTGATGATTTAAGATAACTTTAAAAAAAAAGTTCTGTCTTCAGCTGTAGATATTTGTTGATGTGAACCTGCTTTTTGTGCTTGAGATCAGTCAGTTTCAGTGGGGGTGATCCTGAGGGTTACGGTTATGAATTATTTTAACTTGTCTTTTATGGACTTAAATATACCTCATATAAATATGAGGGACTAAATAATGTGATTTTTTTCTAAGACCTTTAGATATATTCCCCCAAATGTCTACCCATCAAATCAGAATGATTAGACTTACGTAATTACGTCACATGTGTTTTTGCAATGTAAGCAAGTTTTGTGATTTTTGTTTCGTTATACTTCGTCAGCCCTTGATAAGTATGCAATTTTTTTAGATGTATATTATCATTGTACCTCCATTTTGATGTGTCTAAAGAATTTTAATGCCTTGAATCCAAATGAAAAGTTTGTTAGCTGAACAAACTCATAGAAGTTTTGAATGCGACATCAGTTCAGTGAATCTGTGCTGTTCACATTTCATTTTTTTGTAGGATACCCTGACCTGTAATGGTCTGGTTGTGCTGTGTTATGTTAGTGATTAAAGGTGATTTCTATCAAATGGGCACTGTGTTTGTATAAATCCAATTGTCATGAATTCGTTTCTAAATCTGGAAATTTGAAAATTAAAAACTTTGAAACGTGAAGTTCCCAGTGTAGTCAGTACGAAGTTGAGCAAACAAAACTTTATGAAGGACTGATTGAATAGTATATTTTTAGGATTTGCCTGCACAGTTTGATAGGAAGTTAACAACTGACTGAATGAAAGATTCTTCAGTACTGTACAAAAACAATATTGTTGGGTACTTGCTAGAATGCTTATTTTCTGCTCAATTTTGTTTTGTACTATTTATCAGTTGTACAACTTAAACAATGTTTTATGCATATGTATGAGGAGGTGCTTCCAGCTTGTAAAATCACAATAGATATTCTTAGATGGATAGATGACATTTCTTTCAGGGTGCCAACTTGCCCCTAAACTCATGGTCATTACCTCTCTTGTAGGTTCTGTATGAAAATTAAGGAAAGCTTGGTCCCTGGATGCCCTTGGACTCCGAGCAACATTGTTCATATTTCGATATTTGAGCAGGCTGTTCAAATGGGGGGAAAAAAGCAACAAATGTGTTTGTAACTTATCAGTGACTGTATTGTCTGCATTTTTTCCCCTCCCTGTTCGCACATTTGTACTCTGTAAGCAGGAGCACCTTGTGGTCCATATACTTCCCTTGCATGTGTTTGTTTTTTTCTATTATCAAAGATTCATGAATTTGTCAGTCTGGAGTACAATCATATAATGGATGTTTCATAGCAGGAATGGACCATTTCAAGCTTTTCATGTGGGGTCTGAGAATGGGTTCACCATCCCTCCATCCCTCTCCTCCTCCCCTCCTCCCCCTCCCCTTTTTTGTGTGGAAAAAAAGCAATGTTAAACAATTCGTTCATGTAACTTTTCCATATGTGTAATGACATTTGTGGATATTGGCAAATGAAAATATTGGTGTTAAAAATTTCTGTGTTCTTGGCTAAACTACAAGCTACCACGCGCTGTCTTTAACTGGAGAAAAAAAGAAGAGTATTGTTAAATCTCGAGTGTGTTTTCCTTTCCTTCTGTTAGATTGTTCGTCCTTACATTACCCGGGAGATCTGCTTCATATTAATGTTATCCATGTTTGCTTTGTTGCTTCTGATTTTTTGGTGCTGCTATTTCCCCTTTGTCCGATTCCCCTGGTTCCCGTTTCCACTTGCTAGTCCCTGTACATCTGGCCACACTTCAAGGGTGGTTAGTGTTGGTTTCATTCCCCTTCCTTCAGTCTCTGACTCGTCTGTTGTCTTCAGTGACAAGTCTTGTAGGCGCCCTCTCTGGTGTACAATGTCCTGTTTGGAAAATATTTGACATGTAAGAATACTACTGCCAGTTAATTTTATCTTGAGCTCCAGCCTTTTGGGCTTTTAATCTTTTTGTTAATACTTTTTACTTTCGGTTGGTTGTTTCAATTATGAAAAACTCTTGTTTTAGTCAAGTAACCTTCTGTGGGATTGAAGTCTTCAGTATCTGCTTTTTGTTGCGTTTGTTTTATCAAGGGAATGGTTGGTTTTCTAAGTAAGGAGATGTTTTGAAGGGATTTTTTTTTTTAGGGAGTGGTCACTGTGGATGCATTCAACAGACTTTTTTTCTTCTTCAGCAGTCTGACTTCGTATGGCTGTGATGAGCCAATCTTTGGAGTGAAATGTGGGAACTCCTACACCTCCTCTATCTTTTACATTACTGTATATTGCTGTACTTCATGTGATTTCAAAGTGACTAACTACAAAAGATTTGAGCACATATTAATAAACTAATATTATTTAAATGTGCATATTTCCTCCTACCGAATAAATGTGTCGTCTTTTTTTTTTCTTCTGTTGAAGACATTTATTTGTCTTCTTTTTCTTTAGAGGGATTTTGTCTATGTGATTCTTGAGTGTGAGGATTTAGAAAGTTGAAATACTGTTTCTTTTTTCTCTTTTTCTTGGTGTTACAGTCATGGCCATTCTCCCCATGTACTTCTGCAATGTGCCTATTACTGTTTGTTCTAGGAAAAACAATTCTTCTCTTGCTACCATACTTTTATATGTTAAAATGTATGATGTTGTCGTGATGGAAATAATTTTATCCATGGGCTTGACAGTTTGCCAGTTTTTGTTTGCTATATTGTACATAGTCACTGACATTTTGTTGATTAGTGTCACCTGTCATATTGTTATCATCAAGCTTCTCAGCACTGGATATTTGGGTTGCCTTCTGGATGTGTACGTGCTGTAGCCGATTCCTTCTTTCGACTTCAATTTTCGGATTTTGAAGAAGATTGCAAGATGTGAACTGTCACCGTCATGTCGTCAAGTATCTGCAGGACGCTCTTTTTTTTCCCCCTTTGTGATTTATATAAGAAAAAAATTATTATATATATCTAGTTTTCTTCAGTTTCGAGATCTTTTCGTCTTTCTCCAGTACCAACTCTAGGGACTTTTATCAGGGTGTAGGAACTTCTGTTCTGGTTCTGCCTTCGCATGATACTTTTCATAGAGGTGGAAGGCTAATTTACTGCCAAAACCAGCTGTTGATGTTTTTCATTCTCTTCATTCTCTTCATTCAGGGGCAAAATGTACTCTGGTCTTTCTCGTGTATGTTCGGAACAGGGATTTGGTGAAAGTTGCAAGCCAACGAGTCAGCCCGTATTCTCTTCCTCTGATGGATAAATCGCCTGAGACATGCAGCTTTTTCAAAATTGCAATCAAATGTCAGTAGCTTACCATCGAACCATTGTTGTTTTGTGTGCGTTTTCCCCCTCTTTCATACCCCACTTTGTTCCAGATGACTTGTTGCTAGCTGTGCAATCATTTCAATGAGACTTAAAGCCGTGAATGTCCTCATGTTCCTATGAGTCTGAGTGTTGCTACTCTAGGGTCGGTTTAGCTGTAAATATCATTTTTTAAATGTTTTCTGCGCCCTGTTATGTGTCTTTGGAAATGATTATGATTTCACCTTAGGGTCATTATTCTAGAGAGCTGCAATGACTGTATACTACTACTATTATGACATGTATAATCTCATCTGAGTCCATTACCTTGGAAAATATTGGATTGGTCATTCATTATTCAGATAGGTGAGTAAGTATTCACGCAACCTTTTTGCCCCTCATCGCTTTGTGGGGCTTATTTTTCCGTAATGTGAGTTGTGCTGATTTTCACCTAGTACAGTAAAGCATTGGAACATTTATAGAGCGGCAGAGTGAATGGTTGCGTTTGGAAAGGGTGGCATTTTTCACTGTTCCATCTTTTTTTAGGGTTCAAAATTTCCCTCCCTTGTGAAAGGGGGAAGAAAAGAAAAAAAATCACTTCATGGAAAATTTCATCACTTCTGGTGCTGCTGTTTCCACATTTGAAGTGCAGATATTCCTCTGTGCTGACAGTTTGTCCAACATGTAGGCATCCAGGTCATCTGGTATAGCAGCAACTGGTACCTCCGTGCTTCGACGATATGCATCTCATGTTGATGACCGTAGACCAATTAAGTCCTGATCCGAAATAGTGTGGAGAGTTATTTCATTAACTTGCCAGGTCTTCTTATAATGCATAATTTGAGAGAGTAATTGCAGCCTGATGATACACTTTTGATTTTTGAATGTCACGCATACATGTTTGATTTATTAACCAAATGTGTCGCAGTATCAGTAAATATTCTGACTTACTGGTTTTTTTGTGTTTTTTTAAAACATTTTTTTCTGTTCAAGATTATAAACTTGTACAGTTTTATTTAATTTGTCAATGAGTGAGTGATTTGCTAGGTTGTGTTAGTTTTTTCTGTTTTTTTTAACAGATGTTCTTTTTAGGAACGAAACTAAGATGTTAAGCTGTTAAGCTTTCCTTGTTCTGTATTTATATATGTAAAGGGACAATACTGGGACTGTATTCAAATTCTATGTCAAGCTTTTATCCATTGTGTTTCGACTCACTTTGATCCAGACTGCTGAGCTGATTAGTGTGCAGCCTATTTCATAGTGAAGGTCTGGATAGTAGAAACTAGATTGTCTCAAAATTCAGCGAAGGTTGTGAAATTATTATTTTTAAAACATTTTCTAAGAACTCTACGAGGCTGTGTTTCCAAACTTTTTTCCTGTAGCCCTACCCTGGCTTCAAAATTCCAGACTGTTTTTAAGGCAAAAAGGCTAATGATATAAATATCAAACAGCATGATGGTATCCTAGACAAATAGGTGTATGATACAAATATCGGATTGCCAAATAGTATCCTAGACAAAAATATCCATAGAATTATTGCATCTCTTTTAAATGTACAGTGCTTTGTATAGTAGCTTTTCTGAATCTTAAACCGTGAAAGAAATGCACCCTCTCCTTGTAAGGCAGTAGATTTCTGAAAAAAGGAACAGTTGATGGATGTGTCCAACACACAAACTTTGGAGCTGCCAGATACTATTAATGTGGTCACTGTTGACTATCTCTGACCATCGGAGAGTGTGACTCTTTCTTCAGGTGACAAGTAGTAGTAAATTTTCCGCACATTTGACATAATTGATTACTAAAGTTGTAGTAGAAGAAACACAAACCAGTAAGTGTAGCCAAACAAGCTTCCACAGTATGTCTGTGAGTGAGCCGAAGCTTCTTCAAATTATTTGTTATAAATCTTTTACTCAAGCTTTTTATAGTGTATTTGATTGATTCTTCGGTCACTCAAGCTTTTAGTCAACCTGTAATGCTGTGTCTAATAAAACTTTTTAAAGTAAAACCTCATATTGTTGTCCACCCTTTTTTTTGGTTTAGTTTGGAAAAATAAAAATACACAGGCATGTCACCGGTCATTTAATGATGAAAAGTGGAAAAGTGCTAAGCCAGAAACAGAGAGTAGAGAAGCGTGCTATCTTCGTACTTGTTCTATTTAGTCATTGCAGACGTCTGTGGTGATGTAATGGTTCGGCTCTTTGCTGTGTATGCAAGAGCAAAAATGTGAGCTAGATGTCCTTGTGGGGAAAATATTTTATCAATTGTTTCCGTCTTTCTGTTGACGTTGGAGTTGGAGTGTTTTGAACTAGATGGGTCCTGGCAGTGGCAGGCATGGTTGCAGCAGGCCGCCTCCTACTCTTCATTGTGTCGGCAGGGGCATAAAATATATATTATGGTAAATTAGCACAAAAGTTCTGATAGTCTCTTTGGTGCATTTGTGCTATACATTTATTTTCATCCGTAGACCCTTTCCTTTTAACTTCTACTTCTAGAGTAAAGCTTCTCTTGCAAAATGTGATAGGCAGTTTGGAATTGTGGACGGATGACTATTGCCACTTGATAAATTGTAGTTTGGATCTCTCTGAGTGGAGTCGGGATAAAAGAGTCATACCATACATGTACTGATGTTGTGATAACAAAACAAAGAGCTAGAAAGGTTCAGAACTCTTTTAGTAACTGAGCAGCAAAGGAAGGTTTAGAAAGGAATGAAAACGTCTGAACGACGCAGCTCGATCCATGTTCATACAGAATGCTTTATAATCTAAATTATACTAAATACATGTGTACTGGAAAAGTTTCGAGATTGAAGACGGAGTCAAGAAGGGCCTTTCCATCTGAGACGTTGCAGTCATCCATCTGTTTGTCTGTCTGTCTGTCTGTCTGTCTGTCTGTCTGTTTGTCTGTCTGTCTGTCTGTCTGTCTGTCTGTCTGTCTGTCTGTCTGTCTGTCTGTTTGTCTGTCTGTCTGTCTGTCTATCTATCTATATTGCTATCTGTCTGTCTGTCTGTCTGTCTGTCTGTCTGTCTAATGTCTGTCTGTCTGTCTATCCATCTCTCTGTCTATCCACCTGTATGTCTGTCTGTCTAATGTCTGTTGTGTGTCCTGTATCAGCTTGACGACTGATGTATCCGTAGCCATCCGTCGTTCTCTGCCAAAAGCTGCTTTTATTATATACGTAGCACTTTTCGGAATGACAATAAATGTTTTCTTATAACGCATGTTGTGTGCGTGTAGGACAAGCACAGACGAGAGAGAGAGAGATTCTTACGCTTTTGTGAAAAGCCTAGAATCTAACGTTGACTCGAGCTGCAAAGTTGGACGTTGAGAACGTCATCCGTTTTTCAATACACTAACCTAGGCTACAACTATACAGTATACAGCCTACTGAACATGGTGATTTTTATTTGTGCTCCCTGTACAGAGTTCAGAGCTGATTTTCAAAATTTCAATGTTTTCTCTGGAGGCGCCCTGTGACCAAACAGAAAGATACATCACTTCTTGATCTCTAGACTAAGTGACACTGGACAGCCCGAGAGGGTAAACTAGTCGTCCCGTTGACGGGATTTCTTTTTTTTTGGGGGGGGGGGGGAATCTTCGTCGTATCCTCATTCTGGTATCTGGGTGGTGCCTTTTCCTCTTGCAATCAATGCATGTACTTACTTTGCCTTCTGTCCAGTTCTATTTCCTTCCGGTCTCTGGGGTCCTACTAGTACAGACCCCGGAAACCCAAATCGTGAAGTACTGGTAGACTGTCAAAGTGTGTGTGTGTGTGTGTGTGTGTGTTTAGCGCGGCTTTAATTTTAAACGTGTACAAAAACATCAAAACTTTTACTTTTATCCTCTGTGGACTAAAAATACAGGAGGTCTTTAAAAAATACCTTTGACATTTGTGAGAGGAGGCCATTCTTCTTTAAATGTGGTGATAACCGGAGACCACCTTATGGCAGGCTATGACTTTTTTAAAAAAGTTAGAAAAAGAGACTGACATTGGAAAAGGAAAAGAAGAAATCATTGATATGACGCACTAGGTCAGTCACAAATTGGAGATTATTTACCAGCACATACCCTTAATATGGATCTCTTACAAAAGTTGCACCTTGTGCAAACAACCTAATTTGACCTAAGCTTTGTGAGTTAGACAAAATGACCAATGAAAATGCTTCTGCCATGACCAATAATCTTTTAGAGATCAGGCAGTCTTTAACCAATAAACGAGCTCTAAAACTGACCAGTCATATTGTTAATGGTGACATTGAAGTAACCAATGAGTAAAGTCTGCTATAAGCGTGACTTATGTCATTTCTAAATTTAGAAAATGATGGGGGGCACTATAATAATTATATTATAAAAGCACACTTTTTCCCATTCTGTATCAATCATTTTGGATTTGAAGACAATTCCGTGTGGACGCTCAAAAACACACCGTGTAAGACATTCTAATACACAGGTACAATTATGCCGTACAACGTTCTATAAGTCTGTGGTTTAACAGAAGTTTCCTTTAAATTTAAACGAAAATTAGGGGGTTAAAAAAATAGATTAATTGATAATATGAAGGTTACAAGACGCTTCTCTGAATCAAAAAGAATTTGATTTCAAGAATGTTTCCCTAAACTTAAAAAAAAAAAGGAAATGAAAAAAAAGGCTGTGACCGTGGAGAGAAAAGGATACTTTAGAAAAGACTTCACATTTTATTTACCATGAGTCAGCGTTTTCAAAGGAACGTGGCGTCTTGCGCGAAAACAACAGCGCGAATGTCCGGATGTGATGATGTGAGGCTTAAGTAAGGTAGACACTTGTCTGATTAGTCTAGTCGATTCTATTTGATCGGGCTGGGAAAGAAAATCAGACGCAGTATACTACTAGTAAGCTGCTATAGGGTGAATGGAGGGAGTTTTATACATGATACGTGTATCTGATCCTTATATTCGGTCTTCTACCACTAGCCGTCCGAGGTCTTCTCCGCTGTCATCATAATGTATACTAGTCATTATTCGGTACCACTTTCTGGAGAATGTGATCTATGCTCTAAATACTTCACCACCGGCTCAGAATTTTCAGTCAATATTTGATACTTCCCTTGACCAATCAATATTTGTTGCGTCTGTTGTTTTGTCATATTTCGATACTTTTTAGCGTAGCATTATTTGATAGCTTTCTGATCAGATCATCATTTTCATGATATCTAATTAATTCATCGTTAATCACAATTCCTTTTTATGTATTTGAATGAGGTAAAGTGAAGTGGATTGAGATCACCTCCAGAGGAGGGGGTCGGGGTGGGGGCAGAAAGTGGAGACGAAGGCAGACGACAGAACATGGTTAGATGTGGAAAGGAGGTGAAAGGAGACAAATTTAGAGATGAAAATTTTCCGTCGCTGCCAGGTTTCGAAACCGGGACCTATTGAATGAAAGGCCAACATCGAAACTCCACACCACGAGAGCATCCGATGGTGGTAGTTGTGCTGCAGAGAGACAGAGAAAGAGATAGACAAACACACGCACACACGCACACATACACACACACACACACACACACACACACACACACACACACACACACACACACACACACACAAGCGCCTGCACGGAAAGAGAGAGAGAGCCAAAAGACACAGAGAGAGAGAGAGAGAGAGAGAGAGAGAGAGAGAGAGAGGTGGGCAGAGAGAGAAAGACAGAGAGAGAAAGACAGAGGGAGAGAAAGATAGACAAAGACACACACACACACACACAGAGAGAGAGAGAGAGAGAGAGAGAGAGAGAGAGAGAGAGAGAGAGAGAGAGCAGCGGAGAATAGGCAGGAGAAACGGAGAGTTCACACGTAATAATAAATGGAATACAATATTTGGATAAAGACTCCAGGTTCCATAAATCTGTGTAAAGTATTCTTTCAAAAGCCATTTCCTCGGTTATTTCCGTTCATCTCCACCCCTTGCTCCACGAGTCTCATTAACCGATCGTTTGGCCTAAAAAAATTTTTTTACAACACAACATCACCACACAAGTAAAATGTTTAAGACTTAAAAGAAACAAAACACAGTTGATTTTGAAGGTAGAACATTCAGTCACAAAACTAGAGGAGTCCTCTTTTATGAAGCTGGTAACAGCAACCCCCAAAAAAGCTGCTTGAGTAAGGGAAACAATTACCTGAAAAAGTCTTGTTAAACAACAGTAAACAGAAAAACAGAAAAGCAGGTTTAATAAGTGAAGGACACATCCATCAAAACTTTTAAATGTCTAAATATTAGGAAATGTTTCAAACCTTAGTAAGCCCTTAGAAAGCACATTTTCAAAATGAACAAAATGACAGATAGAAAATACTCTAAGCAAAACCATAATATAATATGATTGTTAGTACACCAATTATATAAATAAATCGAGATTTCTTGAAAATGATTACGACATGTTAGGTGGTCCCTTGTCTCTTCACTTCACGTCTTGAGCTCGTCACTATGGCGGCATTCTGCTAGTTCATGTTCATAAATATATCAGTGACCAAAAAATCAATTTAAATAAATCGAATAACTAGACTTGAAGGTCACAATTAGTGTTGAATGATAACAGCCTTAGATTGTGACTTGTTTGTTACTATAGGCCCATATACGTAGCGAATAATCCCAATGTCGAATGGGGACACATAGGAATTATCTAATACTGAATACGTGTAAAATAACAATGATAATACATAACAAGATGGGCCACTCAGCCAAAAAAGTGTCCGCAGGAAGTATGCTCTTTGCTTCAGATGGCGCTGCAGTCTGTTTTGAAGCTCTCTTTCGTTTTTCCAGAAGAAGAATAGGAATAGCACCTCCTTGCGTGCGCAGATCGACTGCTGTTCATCAGCAGTTCGGGTACGTTCAGTGCGGAGTTTTAGTTTTTTTTATATTTTAATGACCTCTCGCCTTTCATTCTAAAGTCAAATTAAACAAAGAAAACCATCACCCTTTCCTCCGGAAGAGGTTTTTTGTCAGCGTAACCATTTAAAAAAGCGTTCTTCCGAAATTTATCCCAAAACTTGCTAGTTTCACTTTGATTTTTTAAAACTCAAGTAGGGTAACTCTGTTCGCAAAGAGTGCGCTTTTGTGAAGAGGGCGCCACCAAATTTGGAGGACACTTTTTTAATTGGCTCAAAGAGAGAAGTGGCCCATCTTGTTATGTACTATCATTGGTATTGGTTATGATCAGGCAAAGAAAGTATACAATTAAAGACAGCCAGTGAGACCGAATGGGACCGAATGACTAGGCAAATAAATGTGTTATCGAAAACTGACCAGACAAAGGTGGTATCAAATAATTAGTTTTAATGTACTTCGGAGGGAATCGAGTAATGGCAGATAGGAATGTATCAAATTATGATCCATCAAGATATCGTATAATCGCAAGGTAAGACAGGTATGTACTAATGACAGGTAGGTATCGAATAATAACGCACAGGAAGGAAGGTATCGATTATAAATAGACCTTGCAGGTTTTCATGAAATATAAACGGGCAAGGAAGTATCGAATGGTTAGGGTTAGGGTTAGGGGGCGTTTGAAGAAATCCCCTACCTATGTGTTAGTCCTTAAAACATAGTTATCACGCTCAAACCACATCCATACCTGTGAAATCTCTGTAACACCAATGACTATCAAGGATATATGAACATTTCTTACCCAGCATCCATCGAAGTCAATGACTCTTCGGTGACGGACTAGAGGTGTATTCTGATGAGGCACGGAGGTGAGCCCTACCAAATTCTTCAAAGAGGTCAAACCAACTAATGTTGGCGCTGGTTGACCCAACGCCTATCTACAATAGCTCCAGGAAAAAGAAAAAAAAAAAGAAGAAAAAATACTAACATCTCTAAATGGTGTAAGAGGTCATGCCAGTTGACTACCATCCGTTTTTCCATGATCTGTCAACTGACTAGCACCGAACAATGATGATTGGGAAAGTAGAGACTACCCATCTTTGAATTCAAATGCGAATTTTGTTATTCTTGTCTTCTAAAACATTTTGTCAGTCAGCTGTCGTTAAGATATTAGTTTAAATAAAAGGCCTATAACTCGCAGTCGTCCATGTAGATCTATACTTGTTAGGCCAATGACAGCGAACAGTAGCACACAGCTTCGCCTAACCGGCTACATGGCGCCTCCTGTCACTGTTATACGTGGAAGCGTCATGCTCGAATCGGCTAGTGCAGATAACCGACCACCTGCTTTGTGCTGCACATTTTCTGTCATCCCATAACTGGCTACGTGCAAAATAAAACTATCGGTTGTGGTAATTAAGAAAAATCAAGTAGTACTTGATTCCAACAGTTATAACTTAACCTTTTGTACAGAAATTTGTAAGATTACGCTGCGCGTTTTAACAATAATCATTTTTTGGTCCTTTCTAAGAAGGTTTCTGGTTTTCAGAATGGCAAGAACCAAACAAACAGTCCGTAAACACACCGGAGGAAAAGTGAATATGAAAATTCTGGCAACGAAATTTGCGAGACCGAACTGGGTTAAGGCCCCTGGAGTGAGGAAACCTCTGAGATACAGGTCAGACCTTCATCATTCATTGAACCATTAGAATGTTGTGTTTTGGCGTCTTGTTTATCAACTTGTTTTTGTACGAGCATCTAGTCCAATTCAGTCAGTGAATGTTTCTTATTTATATCTTGACAGAATTCTATTGAGAAGTGGAACATCCCAATTTCAGTCAAATCCTTGCTCTCTCTCTCTCTCTCTCTCTCTCTCTCTCTCTCTCTCTCTCTCTCTCTCTCTCTCTCTCTCTCTCTCTCTCCCTCCCCCTTCACCCCCACCCCCAATTCTCTCTCTCTCTCTCTCTCTCTCTCTCTCTCTCTCTCTCTCTCTCTCTCTCTCTCTCTCTCTCTCTCTCTCTCTCTCTCTCTTTCTCTCTTCAACTCCGTCTGTCCGTCTGTGCTCTTCCTCTTCTTCCGGTAGGATTTCCTTAATTTTATCCTTAGAGATTGGTAAACTGATTTTATTTTTGACCATTCTGAAGTGAAATGCTATAGTCCGGACAACACTAAATGGACAACTGGTGGACCTCATTACACAGAAACTAAGCGGTGAATTTTCATGATTTTTTTTTCATAAGCCTCTAAATTCCTAAAAACCAAAAAAATCTCGATTTTCGTGCATATGCGACAAATATAAAGAGGTGTTTTCTATATACTCATTAATATTTAATTGCAGTCTGCGCAGGGAATTTTCATTGGACCAAGAACGGTAGTTTAGTGTTATTTTTTTGTTTGTTTAAATCTATTTTCTTCTTCTTTTTTCTTTACTTACTGCATGCGCCGCAAGACTGAGTTGTTTTCAGTTCAGTG